CCCCCAAAACCCCAAAACCCCAAAACCCCTTTTTAAAATTATATTTTATTTCAAACATAATAAAAAATAGATAATAAATCCTCGCGAGGCACCTGTCGCATGTCACAAAGGTACTAGACAAGCCCCTAGGGTGGCCAAAGGTTGTTTGAGCCATACAGATTTGAGTTTGAAGATCATTTTTATATCAGAAGCTTGTCTAAGCTCGAACTTAGAGATTTAGTTACAAATTTAGCCGGCCAACCCCAATTCCGTTCAGCTAATTCTGAGATTACTAAATTTAAATTCGAAGTGATTTGACATTAGTTGTTTATAGAACAAGGAACGAGAAACTTTTTGATCGATAATTAATTATTGTTACTAATTTAGCCAAATTTTACATTCTCTAACGAAGTCAATGAGCCATGAATGGCTGATAGAGCTTCAGGAAAGGAGTACAAAGTGCAGATGGAGTGCATTTAGAAGCTAAATTTAGTGTATATCTTACTTCTTTTCCTTTTGTAAACACTAATCTTCCACCATTAGTTTCCTGATGTTTCCATTTTGACAACCTAAGAGAAGTGAGTAACACTTTGTTCTTTTACAATGAGCATTCTAGGCATAACAAGTTGAGTGGATTTGTATCTGTGAGACAAGATATAGTTTTCATAGATTTAAAATAACTTCAACTCAAACTTACCTGAGGAGACCTTCCTTCTTGATATGGATTTTGAACAACTCTTTAAACAGCACAAAGTTGATTTATGATTCTCTAATATCTCCCTTTTAAGATTTCTGATCTGAATAAGGATAGCATGGAGACACATAAAAGTTTTAAAATTGAGAAGAGGGTTAATCTATGTTCTGAATTTACCTTTCGTAAAACTGAAATTAGAGGGGATAAAATGCCACTGATGAAAATTTCTGCCTATCTCCATTCACTACCACTAATTACTTCGAAATTATTACCTGACAGAAATCATACGGTAATGAAAGTTTGTAGTTGTTATTGGGGATTTATATAAATATTTGCAACCATCTGGCATTTCAAGCTATAACAATACAATACCCCTATCGAAGAAAAGTTGGATTCAACCAGTGTTTTTCACTTAGGTCTCAAAGGTGACACTTTTGCCACAAAGAGGGGAATTTGAACCTAAAAATTCTCAGAAGATATATCAATTAATAGATCGCTAATATAGCCTTATCAATATGAACTTGGGGCCTAAAATCTTCCCTTTCTGTGAGGGGAATACCGGAGCCTGAATTTTGGCAAAGGGAGAAAAGTCTTGTCTGGCAGTGAACTCAAGCGACTCTGAAAGTCTCATCCACAAAAATCCAGAGACTTCCAAGTAGGAAAATAGAGCATGGTGAAAAATATCCAAACATCTAGAACATTTAAATTCCTGCTTTGAGGAAGTTTAGCTTTCCTATTGCTTTTGATATGACTTAGTGACTGAAGGCATTTCACACACTTTTTGTGAATATTTCTATCACGATTCTAGTAAGCTCCACCTAGTTCAGAAATACTCCCAGATTTGGGAACTAGAAGTGATAGTAGAGGTTTATCGTTGAGTAAACGAATACATCTCTAATTACCCTATTTGCACACTTCTTGCTGTAAGGAACATCTGATGGTCCATGCTATTTTGTCTGGAATTCTTGGTAAATCAGTACTTTTGGGAAATGAAACGGTGTTATAAGAAATTAGACTTGCTAAGTTTGGTGATTATAACATCAAGGAGCATTATTAGCACCGAAGTATCAATCTTTTCTAGATTATAAGCTACCAATGCACACTTCCAGGCCTTGAACTGTACTATTCGACTCTTCGTTCATTATGAAAATCAATGTTATAATATATTCAACGAATTTTAACTCTAACGGGGTTTTGGGGTTTTGGGGTTTTGGGGTTTTGGGGTTTTGGGGTTTTGGGGTTTTGGGG